GTCATTGGATTCAACGACGCGGTGAATGAAATGATAGTAGTAGAGCATAACAATCTGTTTCACTGAATACAAATTTAGACGAAGTTTTGTGTGTGCCTTCGGCACAGTTTGTCATTCTCGTAGTGTCTAGTAGTTGGCATCAAAGTGGCTCGTAGTTCTCTATCAGGACCGCAGTAGATGAATGCAAGGATGCGAATGTCAGTTTATAAGAATATTTTGCATTTTAACAACCTGGATCCCTACCGTCACTTCCGACTCTCAAACATTCAGGTTTCGGGAAATTGCTGTCCGCAGCATAAATGATCAGAGAATGGAGTTGTCACTGATGTATCAGAACTCGGATGTAGTGTTCAGTGAGATCTTTATCGACGGCAGTAGGACTGTTCTAAACATGTGAACCTCATTGTACTTTCAACATGTACGTGGTTGATAAGTTTGTGCAGTTGTATCCAACTCTTCCCGCATTCAACAAAACATCGATTTGCGACACGAGCCGGCGGTATTCTTTGCCTCCTCACTCACCACTTTTCCCCGTTTGGGGCTTTCAGCCTTGAACTGTTATCAAAGCTGCAGAAACTTATCAACACGGTAACAGCCTGCCATGAATTCCTAATATGCGATAAAGCAATTCCATTGAGCTCTCCTCATCGGAACGGACAGATCGACTGTCAATGAAGGGCGAACGATTGCCCGTTAAGACGGCGCTCTTTGGGGGTCATCTGTCCTGATGCCAGAAACATGCTACTGGCTGGTTCGTCCCAACTTCATAGCCAACTGCCATGCATCGAAGGCCAGTGGGAAGATCTGTTACCGATAAACACATATGACAGTTCAAATGCCTTATCCCTTACACACAAAGAGCAGACATGGACTCTGCCTTCCGCTAAAATTATTTAGTGTCTCAAACCCACGCATGCCACTTACTCGATCAGGGACACCGGTTTCACTTTTAAGAGTTTATTGAAGGCAGAAAAAGAAGACAATGATATGGTAGACACCAAGAGGCAGCAACGATCCGGTTAACATTGCGTTTACGTCCGACTCAACAGCTGGATGAGTGGATCACCGTCGACTCCGAGAAAAATGGTACTATGTACAAACTCAAACGCACATAAAGTAGACAAAAAACCCGATTAACAAGAAGAGCTAGTGCATCAAGCCACCGCCGCCTTTGAGCTACTATTGCCACTGTTCCCTGTGCCCCCGCCTCCCCGTCGACGCCGCTTTCCGCCGGGCACCGACAACACGCGGAGCAGTCTATGTGGTGTTACTCCACCACCTCCGCCATCATGACAACCAGCGGTAGTCGCATCCTCATTGTTATTATTACTACTGTTACAGTCTTGATGACGATTGCGATAATTAGTGCGGTGATGGTGATTTTGAGTTTGCAGAGCTGCTGGCAGCACCGAGCGTTGATCGTTAATACGTGTCTTTTGCTGAAATGATGATGAAAAGTAGTTCAGGGTTAGACAACTCCAAAGGACCTCGAAATCAATGAACGGAGAAGAGAGAAACGCACAACCCTTTCAAAATATATTAGCTGAGATGCGACCCACCTGAAGGCGGAAGATCATGTCGAAGAAATCATCACCGGGCGCCAATTCGTCGGCAACTGATGGTGTTTGGTCTACCTCCGCCAAGCCGTCGCTGGCGCTGCGCATACGAGCGGCTAAATTAACGCCTCCACCGGCACCAGTCATCAGTGATGTTGTTTCCCCCACCGTGGAAGAAGAGGTGTTCCTGTGTACTGTCGTAGTGGTGGAAACAGCAACCGTAGTGTCCGTATTTGAGGCTGCATTAGTGGAAGGTGAATTTGGCATTGAGGTGGTTCGAATGAGACCGGGAAAGTCTGCTCTCTGATCATTCATCCGTGCACCCTAGAGAAGCAAAAAGGGAACGTTGTGCGAATCAATTGCACATGCACATGACATCCCTGAGTGACCGCATCCATTCTGTTGCTTTAAAAACCGTATGACAGATGACTCTTCAGACTCAGATCATTTAGGTGCAAGCACCACTGTCTCTGCTCGGGATTTGAGGGGATGACATCTACAGCAGGACAGGAATTGTTTGACAAGACACCTAAGTTTGTCGTGGAACCCTGTCGGTGCCATTGCTGTGTAACTAAGCTGCACCACTATCAGCCGCCCAGACGCTCATCTGCCACATGCACATGGATGAGGCTGAAAAGCATATTCAACTCTATCGCAGCCTTATTAACCACCACCACCACCAGTGCCATTTCAAAGCCTCTTCCAGTCATGACGGGCCACACCAGCCAGGGTATGAGAGAACGTGAAATTCTTGATCTTTGAACGCGAACATTTGACTTTCGTAGTTATCGAAGAACCCGCAGCCGACCTTGAGGGCAAATAGATATTCAATGAAGCATTATTTTGACTCGTTGGAGAGCGATGCTTTGTAAATACAGTTTTACGTTAAATAATACCGTAGCTCACCTGCAAATTAATAAGAAGATCCAAAAAGGAGTCGTTTTCCATATTCAGAGAGTCACCCGACGCTGCCAGCACACCATCACCATCACTACCAATATTGTCGCCACCACTATTGTTGTTATTGTTGATT